GTAGGGCTGGGAATGTAGTCCAGTGTGAGGGCCTGGGCTTCATTCCCAACACTGACCCTCTAAAATGTCGTAAAATAGAGCACCAAATTGAGGTGTTACAAAGATTCTTACCATCAAAAAGAAGAAAAGACAGCTCTGCTGATAAGCAGACTTCTGACAAAAATGAGTCCCTTTCCAGTAGAAAAGGAGATACATGACTCTGTGCAACTGTGCAAAAGGGAAAAATAAACAAAGCAGACCTCTGTGTTACATCGTTTCCTAATCTGTCCTATTTCAACTTCTCTGAGTCCCAGTTTCTACATGCATGGACTGGAGACCGAAATCGCTCTTCCCCAGGCGGAAGTGTGAAACTGTCCTTTGGAGGACTTCACATGGAGTCTGGCAAATAGTAATAAACAGGGGAGACTTTTCCCTATTTCCAGGATTGGGACATGGGGATATCATCTGATGATTTTTAAGTTCAAGGACTTTTGAAATGATTAGCATTGATTGGCGCATTCTGCAGAATAAATATCCATCTTTACCCACATTGCCTTGCTTAGTCCTTTGTTTACTCTGGTTTTGTTCCCCGCGATTATACCTGTTAAAAATGTTATAAAAAGTTTCAGGCACAGGTACAGCTTTGCTCCCGGCCACTCCCATCCTTATTCCTACCGTTCTAGAGACACAGCCACTGCTATTGCAGTTTTTAAATTTTTAAGTGTTATGTGAAATCTTAATTTGCCTTCTTTCTCAGTTTTATTTTAGGTTCTATTCTCCTCACCCTCCTTCTCCTTCTCCAGAAGTTATTACCTCTGCTTTTCTCCAGTTATTCTTGTTAATTATGTTTCTTGTCAGTTATTATTCTTGTTAAATAATGGTATTTTTTACTAATATAGAAAAACACATTTTTCCATACAATCTCAGACAGACATATTATACAGAAAATCATATCTGGGGTGGTTTAAGTAATTATTTCATAATATTAGGATCTTTTCATGTATTTTTTTTGCATCTTTCTTTGTTCATTCAATAATAACTCAAGAAAACACAAATCATCTGCTAGAGCAATAATTCCTTATTTTAGATGGGTGCATAGTATTCTGTTCACTGAACATGCTCATTGTTCAGTAAATTCCCTACCAAAGGACCTCCATTTTTCTCCATCTATGGCCATTAAAATATCTCTATAACAAGCATCACTGTTCATTTATCCTATATATTGGTGGTTTTTCCTATGGGAAGGATTTCTAGGAAAGACAGTACTAGGTTGAGAATGTATGTAGCTTTGGTTTTTTTAAGCAAATATGGCCTAGTGTCTCTCCAGAAAATTTGTAATACTTTGATATCCATCAGGAATTAGAACTTTTCCCCTCATTCTCATTTGCTAAGAAGTCAAGTCTTTTTTGGAAATCTGCTAAATAGGAAGACCTCTATCATATTGTTCTAATATATCTTTACCTACTTAATAATTTAATCACCTTTTGTTAGCTCTGTTGATCATTTTGTTTTGTCTGTTATATATTTGTCATTTTTCTATTGGTCTATTGGTATGTGTGTGTGATTTTTTCCTGAATGTGTAAAAAGCTTATTTGTCTTTTTTAGTGGACCAAATATCCTTTTCTAGAATTATAATTATGTCTTCAGTATCTATTCACTTAGAAAAGGAATTGAAACAAATCTACATATTATAGAATTAAAAAATTAAAAGTATTGTATTCTGGATGAATTGAATATTATAAATGCATTTTAAACCACACAATTCAAGGGGCCATATACAGTCTTGAACAGAGGAAGACCTCAGTGACTAAGCCTGGCAATTCAGAATCTGTGACAGAGAAGACATAGGGACTGTACTGAGTGTATCTTAATATTTTAAAAGAAGTTTTAGGTAAAAAAAAAAAATAAAATCCAAAACCAGAATAAGTAGTTTTCTGAAGCTAACCTAAACCGATGTCTGTTTTCTTCACAAATCAAAGGATCGAAGGTCTGACCTCAGCCAGTATCTTAAGGAATTCTCATAGGAAATACAGAATTCAGTGCTAGCCCAGCAGCTTTAGAGAACTGAGACGTTAGCAAAAGAAAAGGAATCCCAATTCAAAACCAAAACCTTTAACTTTTATTTGAAAGCCTTTCAGTCTCCATTGTCATTCCTTTTGTATTAGGAAAAGTTGAGAATTCTCTGTCCTTAGAGAAAGGGCTTTTCGGAGCAAATCCATGATGAAAGAGGAACGGCCTCCGGGAGGGGGCGGCCTCTCTCCCTCTCCCCCTGGGTGTGTGGTTCACCCCTATAAACCGCGGGGAGAGAGTTGCCATCAGTGTGGAGACTTCTGCCAGAGACCAAAACAAGCCCCGATATCGACGAGAAAGTAATTTTATGCATTTTGCAAACCTGACTGGAAGAAGTCTGTAAAGACACCTGCTGAGCGAGACCCCCTCGGGGACGCGGGCCGCACACCGGCCCTGGGCAGTGCTTCTGCTCACCCTCCAGTGACTTGGAACTTCCAGGCTCCTGCACACTGCCAAGGTCTGGAGGAGCCAAAGAGACTTCGCGAAATCGGGGATGCGGCTAGATACTCCCCGAAGATGACGCTGGGTCTGAGCACTTTCAATTAGTCTTATTTGAAACTAAGGCTTCTCGCACACAACAATAAATTGGTCTATCTTTAATCCTCAAATTGAAGGTAAGTAGAATATATTTCTTAAAAACGACTAATATAATTTGAACGCTATTTTGAATGTTTTTGTTCCTATTTTTGGGAAAATATGAACTGTAGAGCCTATCTGTTTTTTGGTTGTAACCTTTGGTTTGCTCTAACTAGCTCTAGGACCTTGGGAAGGTAATTTAATGTCTTTGCGCACAGAAACTCAGGTTTCTGCCTACAAAATTAATTTTTTATGAAGTGGAAAATAGTTACATTAAATTTTTCTATATTGCTACACTAATGTGTAATGTATGAACTATGTGGGAAAAAATGACTCCTTCATCCTTATACTGCAACAAAAAGACGGTATTTCAAGGATTACCTTAAAAGGGTAGGAGATAACTTCAGAAAAAAGTAGGGATTTTTTACTCTGAAAGGAAAATAAGAACCCCATCGTGTTTCAGAAGACAAACTAAATCCAAACACTTATTCAAGTTGCCTGATCATACAATGATTCACTGGCAGGTTTGAGACTAAGGCTTTTGCTACTTTTCCTGTTTTAATAATTTTCACATATGCAAGTTTTCAAAGATGTTTTCAAGATTGTGTTGAATCTCATCTTTTTGAACATCTGAGCTCAGGAATGAACGACAGAATCCAAGAGAGAGATAAAAGACCTAAAGGGGCAACTGATATAACAGGGAAAAAGTAGTGGGATTAGTAATAAGGGAGTGTCCTACATTGTGGGAGAAGTCACAATAAAAATGATGATCACAGATAAAAATTGTAGACATCGGGGCTGGGGATTTAGCTCAGTGGCAAAGCGCCTGCCTGGCAAGCGCAAGGTCGTGAGTTCGGTTCCCGGTACCGGAGAAAAACCAAAAA